TGTGATTTGCAAACAGAGTAAAAATAATAATAATAATAAAATGAGCTCAACAGAACTCCAAATGATTTCCAAACTGCAATGACACCAATGGCAGTTTATCCTCAACAGCTTGCAGGGCTGCCCAAAGTGCACAGCCCTTCTGGGGCTTCTATTAGGACTGGTTACAAAACCTACATGTTTTAGCTAATTATGACTCAGTAAGAATGGGAAAAGAAGATTAGCAATATAGAGTCATATTAAATAGAGATTAACCTAGAGCTAAAAAAATGAAAGTCACTGCTCTATTTGTCTAATCCTGGCTTTTGCATCATCTTTGGAAATGCACCCAACTAAATACACACGTGGTGACTTAAATTTTGTTAAAGATTATGTTAAGCATGGCAATAATTATTTTCCCAATATTTTATAAAGCTTGAGGCTTTTTTCCTGGCCACATCTTACTCCTTGAACATCTTTGCTATTTGCTGTTGATTGCAGTGACATCTATTGGAGAGGCAGCGTTTGGCTCCATGAGCCTCCCCACCTGAATCCTAATTTTGAAAATTTTTTTTGCTCTGTTTTAGCACAGCTTTGCCTGAAATGACAAACTCCAGGCAGCCAGATTCTTGGGAGCTATGTTGATTTACCAACGTTTTTGTTTTTATTTATTTAGTTCCTTTTCAGTAATTCTGGCACTTTTCCAAGGTGACAGCAGTAGTTTTGGCATCTTAGTTCACAGTAGCACTCGAGGCTTCCTGAGGTCACCTCTTCACACCTGAATGTGTCTTTACACCCAATGGACTTGGCCACGTTTTGCAGGGTCTCAGACAAGCTCTCTTGTAGGTTTTTGGGGGGTTTCTTTCGAAGTGAAAAAGAACCCCATCTCATGTGCATACGGCCAACCACCTTCCAACCCAGCGTGGGTCTGTCTCATGTTATACAAGTTATACCCACATCCCCTTCACCCTAACTCTAAGTAAGGGGAAACATTACAGAGATTTAAAAATCTCCGTTTCTGGTAGGAGGAACCATCATTCCTCAAAGAGCACTTGAAGCTACATCACTAAACTTTCTTGCCGCTCCATTGATCTCTACACAGGCTAGAGACAAAATAAAAGGCAGGGAGATTAGGATAAAGCTAAATACCCTGGCAGATGGGAAGTCTGAGCACAGCAGCATCTACCCCATTATCTTAGCCACCTTGCACTAATAGTAAAAATAGTTAATAAAAAACCATTTTAAACTTACTCAAAGCTAAACAGATCAATCTGTCTTCCAGATAGACAAGAGATTTTATTTAAAAAAAAATTAACATTTGCTACAACTACGGGTTCCAAGGTTTTTAAATAGCTGTCATCTTAATTTTCTTATAATGTTTTTTAAGGTCTTTCCCATCTAAGTTATTGTTGTCCACAACTTGATTACAAAGTAGATCTACACTGCATCGTAACTAACGCCCCACAGCAAACCTTACAAAACATTTAATTATCAGCTGTGCTGCCCATCCATTTCCCTCTGCTTCTTTTCACTACTAACCCCTTATTAGAGCAATAAGCCCCAGCGAGGTGCACATTAGCCCATTAGCAGATCCTTAGAGCACACCTATGGCCACCCACTGCCATAGGAAACCCCACCGTCACCTATAGACAAATCTGCAGCACACCTGCCTGCGAGGGCAGGCAGCTCCTTGTACACTGTCCCCTTTACTTCTTTGCTTTGACTAAAGAAAAATGATTCTATTCAAAACCTCCCGCTTACAAAGTTTGGAAAAGCTAAATAATGTCTATGTGGAGAAAGTTACCTCCACCAAAATAGCCGCCACCACAGACACAGTTTCCACTATAGGGAGATGGACCCTAAACCACAATTCCGATGTTTTTGAGGCTTTAATATGAAGGATTTTAAAGAATATCTTTGCAGCAGACTGAAGAACCATTAAGTTGATAATGACAATGAGTTGAACAAGTAAAGGAGGAAACAAATCCTGCCTTTCTCTAGAAATCCAGGCAGTCTGGGCTCTCCTCTCCAGCTCTACCTGTAACGTTACCACTCCTCGCATGCTGCTGTTTTACAGGACTATTTTAAACAGCAACCTGAAAGCCTCTAAAGCAGCATAGTCAGACCGAAGAGGAAACAAGAAGCAGAATACCCAGAGTTGAACACAGGTAAAGATTGATGGGATCACTAGAATAAGAAAACATGACGGGAAGAAATTCTCTCTTCAGCTTGCCCCCAAAGTCTAGCAAAAAAGACACCTAAGAACTTCAAATATAGAAAGTAACTTGAGGCAGCAATCACAAATGGCTCAAATTAAGCTGAAATGAAGAAAAGGACTGAAGCTAAGAGCCCTACTTTCAAGGAGACATTTGAAAAAATGCTAAAATTTCATAGTAAAGTCAGACTCAAGTAATTAAAGCACTGGAACATTGGGGTTTTCTGGAACTTCTCCAAAACCAAGAACTATCTAGCGGTTCTACCTCCAGCAAGGACTCACCCTCCGGGTGAACAACCACCTCTGAAATAAAAGGCAGAATATCTACAAGAACTGACCGTTTATTACAAGAGGCCAGCACAGAAAGCTACAATTTCAGTGGTGGAAAAACATAGAAATAAAATGGAGCATTGCCAAAAAGTAAGTGAATTTAGATCCCATAGGGGAAACTACCAAAAGGTTATTCAGCCCCTTAAAAGGGGGAACAGACAAAACAGGGAGAGACTGTTGTGCAGTACAGACGGGATGAAAAGAATATAAATATAATTTTCAGGTATAGCAGGAAGCCTAACGGATCGCTCAGCTTCTGCTTTCAATATGGGGCCCAATGAGGAACACGGAGACAGCAGCAGGATGACTGCAAGGGACTCGCATGGAAGGAACGATAAGCAAAGACTTGAAAAAACTCAGGTCAAGTGGAACAAGTAAATTATTTCTGGAATATGACACAAGTCAACGAGTGGGTTCATGAAACTGCCGCTGTAGTAGTAAGAAGGCTTAAAAAGAAGAAAAATCCATCAGGAGCAGAAGCCGAGAACACCGAGCAGAAGGCACTGATTTAACAGCTCGCTCACCTCAAAATGCCACCAAGTCCTTTCACGCTCTGGGCACACGGACAGGAGGGGAAGGGAACAGAGCAGAGACTATGACAAAGATTTACCCAGTGGACCTTTTTAGTTTTTGATCTTTTATATAAGAAAGACACAATAAATCTAATCTACCTGCTGTTCAGGAAGCTTATCAAATTAAGTTCACAAAAATAATACTGTGCTGGAATTCATGATGGAAAGACTTTCTTTTCCAAGTGATTACAAAAAAGATACTCTGTAAAAACTCCTTTCAGAGCTACACAGCTGCTTAATATCCTTTTAAGTACAGCTCCAGTGTTTCTAACATAGCTTTTATATATAAAGGGTTGAAGTACAAGCTTAAAGTTTCTTAGGCTGTTTTTTAAGGAAACAGAGTGGGGTAGGGGGCAGATGAAGTGACACATCTTGGTTTTGGAAGATGCATGGAAGCAATGGTTAGGACAGACAGCAGAAAGGGTCCAAAGGGATTCATCCAAACAGATCTGCTTGCTGCTGCCCGCTTCGGCAGAATTGATCAATTTAACACCAGAAGTAGCTTTACTTTCTCAGCTATCAGTTTCAGCTGAGGAATGGAATTCCTAATTCCATTAGGAACTGCAAAACAGCCAAAATATGACCAAGTGCACCAATAATAAGTTATATCTGTGCAAAATGTCTAGCAAGCACTTGAACTGAGGCACATCCTAATCAGATAACTTGAGAATCATACAATATACCAAATATATCCCTTAACTGGGAATTATGACTTTCATTAACAACAGCCCAAAAACGGGCAAAACTGGTGTTTTATCAGCAAAATGGTTTAAAAGTAAGTTACATTCATGCTAAAATGCACAGTTTGGAGTCAAACGCTATGCCCCAAAGAAGATACCAAAAAATTCCAGTGACTAAGAAGCAGTCTCCAAGCAGATGAGATGGCAAGTTCTTTAAAAGGAAATTCTGGAAAAATTCCCCAGGTGGTTCAAGAATTAGTAGCTTTTCACTGAAACACAGGCAGACCCAAGCAGGCTGCTCCTGTGCATCCGTTACCCTTTCTGTGAGAGCAACCTTCCAAGATCCATCCTGACTCCACTTAAAACACACTAGGAGTGACCAACCAACCAACCAGCCTCATTAGCCAGCCAACATCAGGAGCGAAGCCAGCAAGTGCAGGCAGAGGAGCTTGCTCACCTGGGGGCCTCAAGTTGGAAACTTCTGCTCTGAAATACATGGATTGTTTCAGAAAATAGTTCAGGAACCCTAACTGGGATTTAAATATTCCTCAATATTTTATTGGAAGGATAATAATATTTCATGACCTGAAGTTGGAATTAACAAAGCAGTATACTGGTATCTAAATTATGCTGCTGGAAGCTATTAAGCTAATACTGCATCCTATTTAGGTGCTTATTCTTCCACAAAGAATAAGCAATCATTATAAATCTCTCAAAATTAGACAGTTGCAGAACCTTTCCCTTGAAAGGTGCTACCGAAAAATTGATGTAAATAATAATTTAGCTTTTTTTTTGAGAGAGAGAAAATATTTGCTTAAAGTGTATTGCCTTGATATAAAATGCAGACTCTTTTAGAAAAGGCACCAAGGCTTCTTAGGGCGATGTCTACACGAGCACCACTGCTATTGCCAGGGTGCAGCACCACAGCCGTGTCCGCTGCCGATGCCTCTGCTAACACAGGCCCTCCAGGTCCTGCTTTGACTTTCTTGGACTGACATTAAATGGAGCGTTTTTTGCATTAGTTCAGAAGAGAAAAGCTACCCGAGCCTGGCTGGGAAAAGAAGGCCATGTAAATCATAAAGGAGTAGCCATCGGTCAGATCAAGCCTGTGGACTACGTCTTACTGCCACGTCCATAATACAAGCTCTGCACGGCAGCTACGTTGTTCCCATAACCCGATCGTGCTCCATAAGTGCAATGCAACTTAATAAATATTGCACTACTCACGCTCTGCACAAGCTTCCTCCTCTTCATCCACATCAGCTTCCTCTGAGTGCCATTTCTCAGGTGCTCTATATGGAGGTGGCAGCTTCATTGGAGGTGGAGCCCCATATTTTCTCTAATGGATTCAAAGTAAAATAGTTACATGCTTTGTATCCTCCATATAGGGAAAAATACTATTTTTCCTTCTGATCTAAAATATCTGTGTGTGTACATACACAGGGCATAATGACAGTGCTAAAATTTGCAGCACAGACTTTTATGCAAGAAAGCAAAACAAAAAGTGACTCTGCATATAGAAAATACAATAGCGCATTCATATTTTCTTGTTAACAATATTTCTGCATCATTGTAAACAGATAAGCATGAACATCAATGAAGGCATAAAAATGAACATTAAGTTATAACTCATTTCTCATTATAAACTTTAAACATTTTAATATTTTAAGCAATATCAGATAATTTTGATATTGAAGTCATCAAATTTTTAAAATACAAAATAGAACCTCAAACTTCTTGCTGTTTCTACAAGCATATTTGCATATAACATGTCATCTGTATTTTAGTTTAAATGAAAAAAAGGAACTTGGTTTAGAACTATTAAAATTCTATTACCTCACATAAATACAGGCAGCTCCTATAATGATGCACATAGCGCCGCATGTCAGGCACGGAGAGCCAGCTCCGGAGCTAATGAAAACAGGAGCTCGTTTGTCCAAGCCCCTGTTTTTATAGCTCGGAGTAACCGGATCGGGCCTCAGTGGCTACAGGATTTCACTCAGCCGCATCCCGCACGGCCACGCGCTAATAGGGATGCACTTCGCGGAGGGAGCGCGAGCGCAACGTGCCATTAGGGCAGCCCAAACGCCCGCAGCGAGGTTGTTCTACCAATTCTGGGAATCAGGATTCAACGTCCAGACATCACACCTGGAATAAGGATTCCTGCCGCGTACGAGGAAAGCCGTGCCTACGTTTGTATGGCTGTGCCTAAGTTTGTTTAGAATATCCTAAGTAGCAAATTGTAATGCAAGCTACGCACAGAATTGAGATGTGATTTACATCAGCCTGCCCGTTTAAAAATTGTAATGGCAAAGTGCTGCTCTGAAGACAGCATAAGAGTAATAAATTAAGTGTTTTAACCGATCTGTAGTAACAGGGCTTAGTAAGAGCTCTTTGAGACACAACAGCCATTTCCCCAAAGTCTCCAGCACAGTCGGAGCCTCCGTCTGCCTCGTGTGGCCCCGCGCACAACCCGGAAGGTCCAAACCACTGTCACTAAATTCCTTGCAATTCAAAGCCTAAACATTGGTCTTTTGGCTATTGTAAAGCCTCTTAAAGTCTGAGGGAAGCTGCACGAGATGCCCGAGACAGTTTTCTCTCACCTGCTGTAAATCCAGGTGATGAATCCGCTCTGTTCTAGGGGTAGCTCTGTGCTACATCTGCAAAACCTTGGGAATCCCTCCCAGAGTTGCCGTTTCCCCCAATCACCTTTACTGATCTAAGCAAAACAATTTTATCCCCCCATATACTAAGTTTTGTAAGAATCATCCTCAAACTTTCTGACCATAGACAGCAGCCAACCAGAATGTAACTGTATTGATTTCAGTATGCTCAGAACTGGCTTAATAAGAGAAAAAAAGCTTTAAATAAATGAGTACACAAAACTCCTAACTATTTCTAGAGTACACATTCAATTAGAGTTGCAAATAAAACCAGTCATGTCGGCAAAGTCCCACTCTGGCAGAAACACTACAAACTGTGTTTCTTTTCTATCAGATGCCTGATGTCTAAAAAAATGAAGTGTTTACCAATGGGGAAAAAATAAGTAAATAAAGCCTGACATGTGCACACTCTTCCTCAATTACCCAGAATTTCTTTTCAAAGATTTATGCCCAAACGTTACGTGCTTTTTTGTTTACAAACTGTTCTTTCCTTTGATTTTTATGGGAGGTACCATGCTACCACTGTTTCCAAAGAAGAGGGGACATCTGTAGAAGAATTAGGCTTAAAAAGCAGCAAGATATTTCACAATATCAAGCTCAAGGAAAATAATGATTCTATACATCTAAGTTATTCTGACTTGCATGATCATAACCAGGCAGCAAAACAGTATCTAGTTCACAGGAAGCTTAATTGTTTTAAGTGGGTTTATACAAGTGACTTCAAGTGATTGTTTTTAAACAAATGGATCGAGAGGAGGATAAACAACACCAAAAAAGGACACAAGAAAAATGCAGTATTGAAAAGATAAATCACCATACAGGAAGACACAGATTTTCCAACTGAATATGGCTGCTTTCAAACCACACTCTTTTGTGACACTTTGAAGACTAGACTGAAAATATCAGTGATTTCCCATAGGGATGCAGGCTAGTAATCCACTAATAGCAACTCTTTCCAACTCAGAGCTGCCCCTACTGTAGCACAGTATGACTGCTTTGTGAATTAATGCTCAAAGGGAAAAAGGAGCTACATATTTATGCACTGAAGCACTTCAATATTCCACCCACTAGTTTATAGCACCAATAGATGAAAAAGGTTTGAAAAAGATTAAGCTCACTCTTTAACCTCCTAGCACTGTGGAACGCAACACGCTGGAGTCCTGGAGATTAAAGGCAGCACATTGCAAGTGGATGAGTGCTTTTTAGATTAGAAATATAGATAACAAAACCAAGAAAAGGGGATTGTAACTGCTTCATTATAACTATTCTCCACTGGCATGAAAGCATGACTTCAACACCTTTCTTGATTTTTTGGAATAACTGCGCCTCATGGCTTCTGAAGCTGACAGGAGCTGAAAGGAGGCTTACAGAAACTTTCTGAAGCAAGAGAGCCTGCCGAGCCTGCCAGAAAACACCAGAGAACCGAGCGAGTTCAAACAAAACGTTCGTCATATTCATGGCTGGCGTTTTAAACCGCTCTGCACAAAAGTTATCGCCCACCCTGGTCGTGTCCCCTGATCCTTCAGCTCTGATGGACTCGGAGCACCTGCCCGCCGCAAGCCACCCGCTCCTAGGAACGAGGTACACGGCAAGACAGCTCGGCCCTTGGTGCATTACAGCTGCACAGCAACCCAAACAAATGCACTGGTTTAGACCCAACAGATTCCTCTATTTTTAAAACTGCCACAAAGGTTTTTAGAAAGTTTCTGTGCAGTAGTGGCTAAGCCAGTCGTAGGCCAACTAGCTAGCTTGGTCATTTTCTTGTGCTCTGTTTATCCTATGGCGGGATCTTGCTGAACTTCAGTGAGCCCAAAATTAAGTATGTTAGTTGTGTACATGATACTCTTTCTCTTTCCATTGAGCAAGTGGAATCAGTTTGCCTCCAAACTGGGCAAAACTACTCTGCTTTCAGAGAGGTACCAGCAAAGAGCTGCAAGAGCTGTGCAGTTACAGCAGCCAACAGAGACCCACAGGACATTTGTCCTTTGCCTTGGATGCAGCAAAAACAGAACCACAGAGGTTTCAGTGAAACCTCTTCAAACATAACATCAGACTTCAAGAAGTGCATAACATCCACTTATAACACAACTTGTTGTTACTCCATTTGATTTAATAAAACTTAGGTAGAGCATTCGAAGGAAAATGAATACCTTTGCATTCTTATTTTCTTTGTCTGCATCCTGTGCTTTGCTCCCCTTAGGCTGCACAGCAGAAACCACCTGAAAACATAATGCATATGTTGTGCATATTAAAGAACATTTCAGTTACAAAGCAAACACCAAAAGAATTAGGTAATGACAGCAACAAAGATTCCCAGCATGGCCTTCATTTTGCCCAGTGTACAAGACTATCACAGCACAGCCTTTAAATTACTTGCTCTTAAGGAAATTAGAAACATTTGGTATTTCTTTTAGGGCTCACTGTTTGATGTCTGACCCCATGTCTCCATTCAATAAAATACTAGTCTGAAGTCAACTGTATGGAGGCGCATACTTGATACAGAACTCGGTATGGACTTCAGAGTGTCAGTTCTTTAATCATTCAGAGTTGAATATTACATTTTAGAATATAAACATCAAATGAGAAAGTGCAAGACTATCATTTTTATTGCTCTAAAAAGTGTACAGTAGAAAGATGTTATTTGAAAAAAAATACAAGACTGTAGTTTACTATGAAAACAGTTAAAAAGACTATGAAAACATCACTGGAGAATGATTAATCAGAAACGATCAGGTGGCAGCCCAAAGCCAACAGCAGAAATTTCTCAAACAAAAGCTGCACTGCAAGCAGCTTGGAGCTCCCATGTGAAATCATTTCTGTACTAACCTTAGTATTTTAAATTCCTAGTAAATACCTCAATCTCCATCTGTTTACCTACTGAGGCAGGAAAGAGACTCACGTCCTTGCTGATAAACGCCATATAGAAAAGTGCAGGTTTAGCCACCACATAATATTCTTCCCTGGTGCTCTTTATCCTTACAGGGGGAGATATCTTTTCTTAATGCATTTGCACTACCGCAGGTGCCTGACATATAGCTGAATCTCAAAAGATGCTACGAGAACCTATTAAGTAGTACTCAGACGCAAGTATACAAGTTTATTTTATCCTTTGTTTTGGTCCATAAGATTAGGCCATATTAAAGGAAAGGGGAACCCTTGGGTCCCCTCTACACCACAGACTCCATCAGCAGCACCTATCTTGGTGAACAGGAGCTGAGTGAGAGCACTTCTGTTGCCTTCACACAGCAAAACACCAGAATATCGGGTAATCCACTTTTCCTTATCTAAGTAAGGTCCTTTAGATAGTAAGGTACAAGAGGCAGCCGAACATTCCAATGTTCTGGTGACTTTTTTGCATCTTCTTTATTGTAAAAAGTCAAATGCAGAAGAGGAGCCAACCCAGATAGTCCCGCTGCAATTCCTGGCATCCCTGTCTGCAAGCCTCCTTCCCAGGGCAGGTATCCTTGGCTACAAGTTTGCATTCAAATTTTAGAGCATATTTTTAGTTATAAAATATGAAATAAAATACACAGGTCAAGCACACGTGTGGGAGACCTAAATTACCACCCATTCAATATCTTCATTTACAAATACAAAACTCATCATTTTCATCTGTTAGATTTATATCTGAGAACCAAAGTTCAGAATCAGACCAAAAAAATAATTGCATGGTCCATAAGCAAAAAGAAAGGATGGATACAAATTAGAAAAATCCTGCCGAAAAGTGAAGCAAAGTTTAAAGGTATTTATTACACATTTAATAATTTCTGGAACAAAAATAGAAATAAACTCACTTTTGGCATGTAGGACAAACTCTGAACAACAAACACAACTGGATTCCCTGCATTCTTGATGGCTTCTACTGCTTCCTCATGTGTGGCGTTTTGCAAGTCCACTCCAGAAACCTAACAAACAATTTATTTTTTATTAGACAGTTTCTTTCTTGCACAGAGTCACTAGAAGAGGTTGCATGCTTTCAGATTAGGGCATCATAATAAGGTACCAAAAGCAGTCAAAAGAAATGATGTTAAAAGTATTTTTCTATGATGCTTTAAGAAAAAGCATCTTACTTTGTATTAACAGCTAAAGAGAGGCCACATGTTTCCCAAAGCAATTTTTCTAGGTTAAAAAAATAAGGAACAAGACCTGTCAGACAAGGTTAGACATAACACCTCTCTTTCACGTTTGGCCCATTTGTAAGATAAATCTGTTTTGAAACTGTTCTTCAAAATGTCACATGCTAGGACAGCACTGTCAGCTTGGGAACCCCAGGTTCAGAAATACTCATTTGGAGCGAGTAAAAATCAACATCGAGCCAGAGGTGACAGCAAGCCCAGAATGACACCCTCCAAAGTAGCTACTCCAAGGTATCTCCCAGAATCAGGGATTTCCTTTAAACAGTAGTTAACCAGACCATCAACGACTCCAAACCAACACACTCCAAATAACAGCCCCGATTTCAGCATGAAGTGTCTGTGCAAACAATGCCACTTTTAAAGTACTTATTCTTCATTTAAATGGATAGAATGGCCTTTCCTTTTTTTTGTTTGTTAGTTTAAGCATTAAATACCACAACCTCTCTCTCCTTAATAAACAAAAGGATCTTAAAAACTCTCTGTATGAGGACCTGAAATGCACTGGAGGGATTTAATTTTGGTTTTCCAGACTCACTGTCGTAAAATACTTCACGAAGCTGTGGCAGTATTTTGTTCTTCCCACCCCCAAAGCTATCTCAGTCAATCTTTATTTGTTAAAAAAGTACCTCCAGTATTTTATCTCCAGTTTTTAAAGCCCGTGTTCTTCCTGCTGGGCTGTCCTCCAAGACGTGTTTGATAAAGATCCCTTTAAGCTCCTCTCCATTCTTCAGGCGCTTTATGACAGTTTGTCCACCAACAATGCTGATTCCAAGAGACACGCGAGGGTCTCGGAAGATCTCAACACTGAAAAATGCATGCAATAGTTTAACAGTTTGAAGTAACTTTTGAAGTTATTAAGTGCAAAGCCTTAAATAAATGCAACCTTTTGGTCTTTCAAGAAGATTTAACAGCATATGGATAAAGCAGATACCTAAGAATGGTCTCAAAATAAGTGTTTGTGCAGATACCTAAGAATGGTCTCAAAATAAGTGTTTGTTTATCCCGAGCAGACCTCACCCTACAAACACAACAAAATTTTGCTGCCAGCACAAGACCACTGCCCTTCCAACAGGCTTTCACTTTAGAGGAAGTCTGGGCAAACAGGTGGGTTTGGAAGTAAACGAACTCGGGCTCTTTCACAGCAGAAAAGACATAAGGTAAATGAGAAATAGGTCAACTATATCAACATACGTCCGTGGTGGTCCCCAATGGCTGAAGTTGGGAGTTTCTTCTCCTTCGCCTTCTTCTCTCTCAGGTAACTCACTAATTGGGAGCAGAGGGAGGAAAGGAATAAAAAATAAAAAAAGTCACCACACCTGCCAGGCCACAATTCCTTTCACATTTGTATCTGGCACTATGAGCTATGCCTCCTCACACCATCCTGTTTAAATCTGCTGCTTTAACCCATTCTAAATAGCTATTCAAGCAATTTATATTTACTTACTAATTAGTCTGCTGTGATTCTTCTAGAGTGATATACAGATGTTGAAAACCAGGCCAGATGACCAGAAAGCCAAATGTGATACAACTGGGAGAACAGATTCTGTGCAGTCCACTAAACACCCCAGAGTGCGTGGTAATTAAACTATGTATTACTCAAGAAATAGGAAATACTAAATTGCATGCACCTACAGGAAGTTTCAAAGAATATACTTTTGCACAGATTTTCTGCAAATCCTCAAAGCTGTAAATGGTAAACTCTTACACTGCAAAAAACAAAATAGGATGTTGTGCTGGAGAAATAATCCTTTCTCTATTTATTGAGTTGCTTTCATCCAGAGAGAAGATTAAACTAGGAAAGCACTGAGGATGATTCAACAGGCCCCAAAAGCAGATCCCACTCATGGACTATCGGCCAGAGGAATTATAGGATACCTGACATATGTGGCATGTATTTATTACCTCTGCCAGCTCAAGGCTTCTCAGCAGCACAGGCAAGAAATTGTTTTTCCTGTATAGCTCTGTGAGCCACAAGTAAACTGCCATCCCAAAAGGATGAGGGAAAAGGAAAGGGGAAAGGACAGAGCTGTGATAAGGAGCTAATGGCAGAGCTCTCAGCAAGAACGACCGTTACCACTGCTCCATACAGCTTTCCTCCACCACATCCCTTCTGGCTCTCTGCACAGCCTGGCATAAGGGAAGCAGGTGGCAGAGCCATAGGCACTTTCCTGTCCCAGTGCTCAGGGAGAAGGAACACAGCAAGCAGAGATTCAGAATGACCTGCAGAATTCAGCTCCTTGCACAGAAGTCAGAGGACTGGCCACCACCACCGTAGGCACTGCAGCTTCATGCAGCTTCTAACAGCTCATCAGCAAAGCAAGGAGCAAGCTGACAGGATAACTGAAAGTTATCTCAAAACTGAAACCCTTTCGCCGTACCTGTACAATGCTGTTCTAGACTGAGGTAAGGCAGTTCCTCTCCCATAATCCCGATTCTTAGAAAAAATACAGTTGTCCTCTTTCAGTTCCTTTTCAGTCACTTCTGGGTCAACAGGAAGCACAGGTACCTTTGAGTCCAACAGAAGCCTCGTATCTGAAGAAGAAAAGGTAGAGACGTAAACATCTGCTTCTTCTGTGCCTGCACCTGACAATGCACCTGGGAAATAAGTCCCTTAGTTCGTCATGTTCCAGATATGAATGTTGCATGATGATCAAGAGACTTGGAGATACAAAACGTATCTTCTTGAATAAAATTTAAGTAACACTAACCATTTTTTACAGCACCTTGCATCTGACATACCTTCTGACATACCTACTCAGGCAGGAGCAGAAAATGCCGAATCGTTGCGGAACACAGACCAGCTGAGGTGCACGAGAAATGATCCGCACAAAAACACACACTTGAAAACACCAAATTCCCCCATTCCACATGCAAAGGGAACACTGCAAGCAGATTCACGCTCCAGCATGGCAGCCCACACACTGGGGAAAATGGATGTCGTTTTGGTGCCATTAATATCAACATTAATTAAGCCACCACAGCTCCTTGCCAGAGTCATTAGTCTGCCAGTGTGGCTTATACACCCAACAGAGAGAGAGATTTGGGTGACAAAAAAGCAAAAAACAAAAACACAAAACCAACCTCCTTTCTCCCAACAAGCAAGTGCCATCTCAGGCAGGCTCATAAATTAGTCCCTCGATAGTGTACCAAATTCCAACTGTTAATTTAGGGAAAAAAATAATTAGGCCCTGAAGAAATGGCTCAAAACACGCTCAACATAATGAAACATCACCAATTCAGATCAGATCTGAAAAAAGGCTTGTTAAAAATTCCATCCCAGCCTCTTCTCGCTCCCTCTCCAAGGAACCACTTGGAGCATCTCAGCATGTTTGTTGCCATTCCTATTGCCTGACCAGGTTGCTCCCTGCTCCAATTGAGATAGGGGACAGAAGGCTAAAACACAGGCAGCCTAGAGGAGGGATTCAGATCCAGCAAGGAAAATCCTTGTGCACAGGGAGAACGATCCCACTGCATTGAGAGGCAGCGTGGAGACTGAAGTCAGAGTTCAGTGACCAGAGGAACTGCCCTCAGCAAGCAGGAGACACTTTGCTCCTCAGCACAGATTGCCACCGCAGAAAAACTTGACTCAAGGTGACAGAGCCTTGGATCAGGTTGTCCACAAAGGCCAAGTCTCCTTCTCTGGAGATCTTCAAAACCTGCCTGGATCAGATCCTGCGCAACGTGCTCTTGGTGACCCTGCTTGTGCAGAGGGGTTGGACTAGATCATGTCCGAAGATCCGTTCCAGCCTTAATCAGTCTGTGATTAAAAAACATGATGCAGCACAATCACCTACCATGGAGCTCACTTGCAAACACTGGGAGTGGTGAAATTACCCTGTGCGCCTGTACCAGTCCCTCTCCCCACAGCCTATTATAAGTATGAAAACCTAAAAAAATCAGCAGTCAAATGTGACAAAAGGCAAATTCCTGAAAGAATGTGTGTAGTCCTGCTGGGGACACAGGTACACACTGATTCTCCACTAGCAGGACAAAGCAAAGCCCTGCAGCTGCAGGCACTTTTCCCTATTATTGTGGCAATGGTAGGGAAATATCTGGAGGCAGAAGCAGGACCATGAAGGTGGAATCTGTTTGAAGCTCAACTGCCCCGAGTCTGTAGAACTCCTCATTTGAATATTATATCATTCAAAAAATTGAACATAAATTTGTGGTTTGGTATGAAAGCTAAATTTTCTAAATAAGAAATTAAAATATAAGAAAAAGCTTCTTACAAACCTAAAACCATCTTGTTCTTTGCTCCTGGCTGGGCAATTTCAGTATCAAAAATGCCTGTCTGATAGCTGCTGTCTGCTGTGGTTCCAGAAGACCGGGAACTTACACTGGCATTTTCTTCATACTGCATGGATAAGAAAAAACAAAGTTAGGAAACACCAGTATTTACATAGCAGTATTTGATATAAAAGTGGATTTTGCAGCAAACATTGAGATTCTGAGCTTTATTCACATTTATTTACTCAGGTAACTATGAAATGCTAACTGCTCATCTAAGCACTATATTGAAGAGAAACGTGAAAAGATAGTATGCACAACTACAGTATAAAACAATTGTCACATCTTTTTACAAGTCTTTAATCCAGACAAGAATTTATTGACTTTTCAAATTTGTTGTTTTTAAGTGCAAACATATGGATTGCATATTGTGTACTGTAGTATAAAAGGGGCACTTGAAAACACATTTTAGCCTATTTTTATATGTATAGGCTAAAATATAGTGCAAAACGGGACAAAACAGATAATCCTGAAATTCTGTTGGTGGCTGTGATTTTAAATCCATTTTTGTTTCTGTTTCTTCATATAAAAGCACACCTCTCAAGAGCTGCTGCATGAAGGGCCATTATCATCACTTTTTTGTTTAGCAAGTGAATGAACAAAGATCAAAAGGGGAAAAAAGACCTCAGAGCACTTGAGGAGGATGCATAAACAAGAGTTTGGCAATATCCCCAAAGCTGTCTCTGCTTCTGCTCCTTTATCCCCCAGGATCCTCGTTACAATTGCTTCCCCTGTATCGTTTTGTGCTCAACCGCAGTATCATCTGGCTCACGGAATTGATCAGGATTAAAAATAAGGAGGAAAACAGGAGCTTCTTTCACTGTCTTTGTTGCTGAAGCCCCTGGATTATTACAATCGTGACCTGACCTAACCTTCTGCTATTACCAAAATGCACCAAATGAGCAGAGCTTGCAAAAAATGAATGAGTCAGAAGTCAGAGATAGGAAAAGGATCTTTCCCATCTCTGGAAAGTGTGCAGGATGTCTGTAAATGCACCGACCAGGGTGCATATCATTCAAGCACATAAATGCGCAGACACCAAGAGAGAGCCTTCCCCAATGTTATAACAGGAGTATTTGTAAAATAGCAATCAAAATGTAACTCTGTACAAAAGCAGTTGGAGGTACCAAGTTCTAACCTAGTAATTACACAAAAGAAGCTCCATACAGATTTTAGTGCTTGACAGGTAGGTGCTCACTGTTAGGATACGGCACTGGGACCCCCCTCAGCTCTCCTTACCGCCAGCTCTTTAGTGAGCGGATATTCCAGGGACTGTTTTCGACCGAAGCCAACACTAGCTCTTACGTCTTGTCCTGTATTCATCTCAAGCTTATTTGCCCATTGCTCTGCTAAGCCAAGGTCCTCCTCTGAAGTTGCCTTCTGTCCACCAGACACGTTGTACTTCATGAAGTCAGAATCTACTTCATACTCGTCATCTACCAACATTTCCCGCTCTTCATCTACTTCTGCTCGAGGTTTCAGAAATTCATGCATTTCCCAGGACTCCTTCTCATACTCCATGTCCTTTTGAGGAAGCTGAAATGACCTTCCCAAATCCAAAATTGGTTCATCAACGAGCTCTTCTTTAAAAGGCGTTTCATCTCTGAAGCCCTGTGCAAAACATTACAGTAATACAGATTTCATATTATGGTTCTTTCCAACTCTTTGAAGTCGTTTTAGCCAGGCCCTAGATGCCCTGCACCCTTTTCCCTAGCAGTACATGCATGGCCCTCCCTGAGGGAGGGACATCTCCCTGTACCCAGGTCAGGGCTGTCACTTTGAAACACCCTCCCTTGACCCAGCATCAAGGTGGCCTGAGGAACTGAAGAGAAGGGCTAATTCCTGCTCTTCCCTGTCTCACATCCCTGCTGTTTTCAATAGAAGACTGCACAGTTTCCAGTGCAGAGCAAGGCACGATAGAACCCAAAGAAAAGGTCTTTGAATCCACTACCTGAGACACCTTGCCCAAGGCCTTGTCCCATTCCTCCCCAGTTTCACACCATCTCTTCTCCTGAACGGAGCGCACACGACAACCCCTTCCTTGCCAAGGGCCGCCAAGGAGCTGCTCCCAAACCTTCCCAAGCACCAAAGCTACATATTCAGGGGTACCGATCCCAAGTGTTTTACTTGCTCCTTCCTGCCCCTTCCCAGACTCCCCAAAGGGCTTCGTTCTCTCCAAACCAGGATCCTGTTTTGGTAGGTTAGTCCAGATAGAAAAGAGGAGGCAGGCGAGCACAGCAGGAACAGGGCAGCAGCCTTGGCCAGCACAAGCACAGAACATCAGCAATGCAGAAGTCACCGCATTTTTCAAAGGCATTAAATATTCCTTTAATGCATCTGCCCTGTTGTCTTCTGTATGAAAAAGTACCCGGTCTGAAGGGTCTCATTTCACTCCAGCAGCACCGCTCCCTGAGCCCTGCTCCTCTGCGAGAGGCACCAACTCCAGCGTTATATAACGGAGCTGACTGAGCCCCGAGACCAGCAGCAATTTGTATCACCCATCTCCTGATACAGCACTTAGCACTGGGTAATCACACGCTGCTGCACTGCAGTAGCAGACGCTACCAACAGCACAGGAAGCACCGCAAATACGACAGTAAAGTCTATGTTGCAGCAGAGAAAAGGCTTGAGTTCCTGTATAGTTTTTTCCTAACAAAAAAAGCCTTTTTTGTCAGCGCTACGGCACAACATAGCGGTGCAGGCCATCATGACGCACCCTTCTTGGCGCTTATACGAGTGGATAGGATAATAAATGGATGGAAATTTTATATCTCTAAGTTCCTGCCAAAGTCATGGTATATAAGGTAAAACACAGGGAGATATCTCTACTTTTATAAAATAAAAATTGATCATTCTAGTCTCTGCATTCAGCAGGTCTTTTATTTGAAGAAAATATTTAAAATAATAGCATTAGATTTGTTTTATGAAGTAGAGAAGCTATTTGGGCTGGCAGAGGACAACTATCTATCAAGAACACCCCCGGTGCTCCATTCTGTAACATGAAAATCAGCAAAGACGATGGCCAGGCTAATTTCTAGATGGGATATCTACCTCTACCACATCATATTGCTTCTCTTGGTCATTCTAATTATTGCTGCAGTATTATGGACTGGTTTGTGTTTAAGATTGGTTGTGTTTAAAGACAGGTAGATGGGCATAAGATGTTAACATGGAAATTTAGAATTTATTTTTATCACCAAGTTGCAGTTCTGGATGATCCTTTACTAATTTTCAGTTTAAAAAGAACGCAGTTACCAAGCTGAATTCCTTTTTGGATTTCCATCTGCTCAAATGCTTTGCAAACATTCAGTTTAAAAAGAACGCAGTTACCAAGATGAATTCCTTTATGTTTGCAAAGCATTTAAGCAGATGGAAATCCAAAAAGATCCACATCTCTCATCCTACACAGATCAGCATTGCAATGGTATTGCCTATTACCCTCCTATCTGAGTTTCTCACTACCCTCAGTGCCTTAGCTTCCCGTAATAAACAGATTACTCAAAAATATGAGAGTAATTGAGAAAGAGATTAAAGAAATTACTCAAGAGCTCATAGCAAGTCTATGAAGAACAGATTTAAAGCTTGCATTGTACACTGGATTTTATTTTTTGCTTCATTACATGTGTTCTGCTTCCACATTTTACTTTCTTCCAAAAGCCAAAGGCAAAAAAAAAAAAAAAAGAGAGAAAAAAAGGAGGTTACTAGTAATGTAGCATTCCTATTTCACATCCAAGGTAACCCGAGGTATTTTAACAATATAATAAATTTAATAAAGCCCAGAATCTGCATCTGTAAGCACCATTTGGTGTTCACAGCACAATTAAGTCTTGTTAAGATTTCCATCTAAATTAGGCTCTAACAGCTATCAAGTTAATCACAGATTCAAAACTGACCTCCATACAAAATTGAAGTTTTCTGTTTTCTGACTTTAAAACTATTTGTTGCCCCTAAAAACTTAAGTTGAACCAAAAAAGTAGCCGAATACCTGTGGTGCTTCAAGTATTATTGAGAAATTATCTACTGATTCTGGAGATCCAGGGCTGGTTTTAACATTGCTGGGATCCATGTTGCACATGTCATCTTTGCTTTCTCCCTAAGAAAGGCAATAAGAAATGCTAAGTCAGGAAAACACATCCAAAAAAATTCCACGTTGCCAAAAAAATAAAGAGAGAGAGAGAGAAGTCACAGTTGTAAAAGAGGAGAAAAATTAAAGAAGAAGAAAGAGGTCCCAGAAATGGAGAAGGTAAACAAAATAGTTTTTACTCTTTTAAGATGCCAGTACATATATAGTAAAAATAATTTAGGACAAGACAACAAATACAAGGATATGAACATCAAAATAAAACTTTTTTTTTTTTTTTTAAAAAAAAAAGGAAAGAATGTATTTAACAGCCTTTCCTAATAGCATTCCTATTTCACCACTCCTTTATCAGTTTGAATTACAAGCACTTTCTATTAGATGGTGCTTTACTTTAATTAATTTTGCCTGGGTGCCCTTGATGAACAATGCAGCAGTGTTCTCAGGTAAACTACTGTCTGCTCCAAAGCCCTGCGTCCAGAGAAAGGAAATTGTACTTGAATTTACAGTCTTGACCTCAAACAGATTAAGTTTCTTTGATGTCAGTGGAACTTAAGCAAGCGCTTTGCACCGTCTTGGAGAGAAATGGCTTTGGCACATATTTAAATGATTTGCCAAACTGCTGGAACCACAATAGAGCTGTGTTCAGGCCAGTGCACATCCAGCTTTGCCCAGACACATCCTCTGATCCCATCTGCACGTTCCTTCAGAAGAGCTCGAGAACACTGGTTTTGCAGTCAGACTTCTTGGATATATAGCTGCCCATGCATATTTTCATGCCCTGACATATTTTCAGCTGTCTGGAGTTTTGGTATGTGTATATGGAGCGTGTATTGCAACTTTGCTGTTTTCTACATGTATACATACTTCTGCCTTGAATTTCCCAGAAAAATACAGCAACACTGTCAATGCATATCACAGAACGAGGAGGAAAAAAATTAAAATCAGCTCTTACCACCAAAGGTTTGCAGATTCCAAGAGAAACTGTACCTGGTGGCACAGATTTCAACACTTCCACTGCCTGTGCTAACGTGGCACGGTCCAAAGACTTCTCATTTACAAAAACCAAGCGGTCACCTGGCAGAAGCTCCCCTCCACGCTCAGCTACTCCACCTGCCACCAAAGAGCTGATCACGATGGCTGTTTTCATCGGATCTAAGGGATCCTAGAAAAAGAAAAAAAACAGCCCCACCAACAAAAAGGTGATTTGTTTATTCTTTATTTTGAATATATACAGAGCTGCCAAACACTGTTTTATGCTACCAAACTGAACCTTGGTAAGACATTCAAAAAGACAGTCTACAAATACAGTCAAGTCTTAGAGTTTTAAGAAAGGAAGGCTGGCAGCAGGAGGATATTCTCTTGCTTGCCTAGATGACTAGCTAATTTAGCTTCCAAAGCTGCCTGATCCCCTCCTCTATCCTCCTCTTACACACAGAAAAACGGCCAGGCCAACCTGCAGACAGAAAAACCAACAGTGGCTCCCGACTCTTCCACAATCTTCCAACTATCCTGTTAAGTACTACATGAAATCATCAGGTTGCCTATAATTCATCAGCAAAATTTGTGTTAAATAGAAATCCTTGCAAAAACAGTATTAATGAAATAGGAGAAACCTTTCCTTGGATATTGCAGGATTCCTGTCCTTTATAAATCACACAGGTTTTACAAGACATGCTCTCAACCCCATGGAGTTGCCTAGTAGAAAATACAGGGGAGAGAGACAGAAAAGAGTACGTAGTGATGAAGACAGTAATGTGAAACAGAAAAGAAGAAAAAAATCCCAAATATATTATACACACTGGAAAGACTGTGAATTGATATGAAGATATTCACCCCACTTAGATTTTTCCCAACATTTACCTTTGCACTGTACCATGTAGCATTTCTATCAAATATTCAGTCATTACATTTAAAAAATACATCCTCAATGCAGTAAAATGATCAAAATTTATTATGTAGTGGCTGAAAGATACACAAAATATATGGTCAGGTTATTTTTCTAGGATTAAAACTACCCTTTCTCCCCCTTACTAAGTGCTCATAAAGTTTGTAAGTGCTCCTGGTATGCAGTGTATTTTCAACTGCATAATAATATATTATTTTTCCCTCAGGACTTGCATCTCATTCAGGCCATGGGAGGGATCAAAAAGGGCAAAATTCAACTCAAAGACCACCATGAATTCAGCACCTCAGTGTTGACTTGAAAACAGGAAGGCTTTTTAACTCTTTATTTTTATGCAACTATGCATTGCTTTCCAAAGGAGCTTTTCTTTTAAGAATGTGCAAACATATGAGGCAATGAATGCAGCATCTGTAAGTGCCCCAAATTAGAGAAGTCTAAATTAGAGGTCAGTAGGAAGAATTATGCTGAAAATGAAGGCCAATATTATACATTAGTAATAATTCTCTCTTATTCGGCCAAATTGGCTTTGAAGAGCTGAGTGTTGGAGCTGTAAACAGTCCCCGCTGCCCTTTGTGGACAAACAGTGGCGGCTTTGCCGGCCCGTCCCGCCAGCGCCACGTGCCTCCCCACGACAGCTGCCCGCGGAACAAACACTCCGTTTGACACTGACTTTGGGGATTTTTAGAGTTTTTGGTCCTGTTCTGCTGCAAAATAAACACAGCCTTTTGGACTCCTCAAGTGAGGCGGTGTCTGCGGTAGGAGACTCAGCCAGCAAGGGCTCCCCACATGGCTTCATCTCGCCCTGCAAACAAGGTTTATGGTGGTTCCCTAAACGGGCAAACTCTCTCTCAGCAAAACTGCACCTTTGCTGACACTACAGCATTTATACTATGATTTTTGCTGGCTTAGTTATACTGTCTAAAAGAAAAAAAAAAAAAAACCCACAACTCAGCACCCACAGCACTCATCCTTCCTGCTGCAGATAAGATGCCAATAATTCACAAGTAAAACAGTGACTGAGAACGTGGGAGAACCAAGTTCAAATTCTTGTTCTATCTGATCCAAAGCTTTTTCGATCCCAGATCAGAATCACTCAAGTAGGACACTCAAGTGGAATCTCACCACCAGATTCTCCTAAGTGGCCTAACCACAGTATTTCTGAGAAATCTTTCCTATTTTCACTGAAATCAGCAGGTTACAGTTCACTTAAATCTTACTGAAAGTGTTCCATCCTGCTCTAATCTTCATCTAAAATGGACAGAGACCCTGCAAAGCTCCTATGCAGGAAAGCTTCCAACACCTCATGTGCATGAGCATAAGCCACACATTGGAATCGCGTTATGAGGAGCTGCAAAAGAAATCTTAAAAAAGGGCCATATTAAAAACTGTTGATCAGGCAAATGCAAAATACGGGCCTCCTTTTATAGGATCTAATTACACTTCTGTTTTCAAGCAGAGGGAGCTATTGTACAGGAAGAGAAGAGCAACGCAGCCGACCCAGCGACAGGGTTAAGTTCAGCAAGTCGAGCAGCGCTGCAGAAAAGCTCAACCTTCCTCACCAGCAACAACTGCCACCAGGAATGCAATAAAAATCGCTTTTGAAAATACAGACCTACCAAATCCTAAGGTGTAATCATTAATGCATATTCTCTGCAAATTAGCAGAAGCTGTCACAGCTGTGCCCTGCACCCTGATCTCTTATTAAAAGAGGAGGAATGTTTTGGGTTTTTTTAGGGGGGTTGTCTTAGGACTTTCCTCTAAATGAAATGAGCCCTGTTTAACAAGAGCTGCTAAAACAAGACAGCAAACACTGAATTTGTATTCACATCTTGTAAATACAACTAGACCAGGTGCTTTGGCTTTGTTTTTAGCAGACGCCAGTGCTGGCAGCAGGCTGATAAACAGGCTCCAACTGCAACGGTGTCCAAAGGGGTGTCCTGGGGGGCTCCAGGGGCCACGTCTCCGTGACCAGAGCCACTAGCTCCACACCAGGTGACAAAGGACAGTGGTGGGGTCCACACACCTACCCTGAGGCTCCGGGCTCCTTTGCCTCGGCTCATGATAAGCTGCCAGATCACTGTGATTTTTAGTCCTGGCAGGACTAGGGTTCAGTCACTTTTTTGATGTAAAAGGCTCATTTAACCAAGTAGAATTTACAGGCTGGGAGGAAAACGGACTAAAAACGCAGAGGTAATGCTGCTGTAGGGGTATTCCCCTGGGTTACGGAAGGGACTCGACCTGAGGAGTTTAAGGAAGTTGGATTCCCTGCAGGATTGTGCAGCGGCAATGGAGCGCGTGCAGGAGCGGGGACATCACAGTGGCACCTCTGCCTGAGGCAGGTGTTTTAAAAGGGGCACAAAGGGGCTTGGCCTGTCCACAGAGAACTTAAATTTCCGTGTACTGCGCCAAGGAATCCTGTAGGAGCAAGGAAGTTCCTAAAGTAACAGCACCGACGAGTAAAGCTACAACAAGGCAAAACCTCCTCGCTCCTAAGAGCCAAGACAAGCTCTCTTATTTTTTTTTTAAAAGGATTACATATCCAAAAATCGCCACTTATATAAGTGATCAAAGCTGACCATTGCAACGCACTCCCAGCAGCCCAGGACGTGGCCTCCCAGTAACCCTTTAAGGAACCCGTATGTTGTAGCTGTTGTCCTTCCCTTTGTGCTCGAGCCAGCCACAGAGTATATGAACTTGTTTAAAATAGTCGCCCTTTATTCACACTTAGCACACCATATATTTAACAGCACTGAACCGTGGGCTTTCCCTTCCCCCCTACCACTCCTCATCAAAATGCACAAGTGTTTCCTGGAGCCCAGGTGTCAAATTTTCCTCCCTATTTTCAGAGCCTCGTTTGTTCTGGATTAGCGCCGCAGAGCCAGGCAGGGGCCGCGGCAGTTGCTGCCTCTGGGACGCCGGGATTCCGGGCTGCACGACG